CTTTTCTAGTTTAGAGAAAGACATGTACTTTCTTGTTCAGACCCTATTTGTAGTTTTTCGTAGATAGTCCGTGAGATTGTAACACCAGCTCCAGGTGGTTTATGTTTATGGATTCGTATTGATATTAGCTTAATTGTTAATTTTCGTTCTTCCACATTACTATTTCCGCTGTTTATAATATGTTAACTTGCGCTTGTTAAGAGGTTAAAAATGAAAAGGTTAAATTAATCGGAATAGTTGGATTGCTAGCTTTCATTAGTAGAACGCCATCACGACTGAGGGTGGGAAATCCGGGTCGTGACAAGTTGGTATTAGAGCTCTAGGTTGCTTAGGTCTCACAATTCACGGACAAGCTTGGTAGAGTCTGAGGGATTGGTAAAGAGACATCTGCGATTATCCCCCAGAGTCTACAGAGTTAGGAACAGTTTCACTTCTATTCTTGTCCGTCGTGCGATTTGGTTTCTCAATGCTAATTAAACTTCTACTCTGTTCTTTCGCAGATGGCGAGAACACGTGCTTCTTCATCCACTAATCAGCAGCCCGAGCCCCCAGCAACAGCATCTACGAGGGGCAGAGGGCGAGGCCAAGGCCGTGCTAGGGGCCGAGGCAGGGGCAGAGCTCAGCCCAGAGCAGCAGCACAAACGTGGAGCCTCAGGTAGAGTTTGATGATAAGGTTCCGACCCGGATAGTTCTGATTAGCCCAGCTCAGGTCCTAGAGGGGTCATTGCTACCCCAGTACTCCAGGATGCTCTGGTCCGTCTAGTGGGCCTTATGGAGAGTGTCACCCAGGCAGGCTTACTTCCTGTAGCACCAGCCGTCTCTCTGGCTGGGGGAGGAGCAAACACTCCCGCTACCCGCACTCCGAAGCAGATGGCTCCCCAGTTTCAGACTCCAGCAGTTTTGCTAGTTGGAGCAGTTCAGCCGGGTATAGTAGCTAAGACCGGTGATGGAGCAGCTATGTTTGCCGATGGTTTGTTGAGATTGGACAGGTTCACCAAGCTATTCACTACTACTTATGGTAGTACATCTTCAGAGGATCCTCGAGATTACTTAGACAGTTGTCATGAGGTTCTTCGGAACATGGGGATAGTGGAGACCAATGTGGTCGACTTTGCTGCTTTCCGTCTGTCAGGTTCCGCCAAGAAATAGTGGAGTGATTATTGTTTGGCCAGACCAGTTGGATCACCAGCTATCACTTGGGACCAGTTCTCGCAGCTATTTCACGAGAAGTTTCTTCCCGTCACTTAGAGAGAGGAGTACCGCAGTTGGTTTGAGCGTCTCTAGCAGGGTTCTATGACTGTCAACAAGTACGAGACGAGATTTATTGATTTGGCTCGTCATGCTCTTCTGATACTCCCCACCGAGAGAGAGAAAGGGTGAGGAGGTTTATTGAGGGACTCGTTCAGCCTATTAGACTGCAGATGGCTAAGGAGACAGGTAGCGAGATTTCTTTCCAGGATGCAGCCAATGTGGCCAGGGGGGTTGAGATAGTTTTAGCTCAGGGGAGCGATCAAGGGTATGATAAGAGGCCTCGTCATTCTAGCAGATTCAGTGGTGCCTCCTCTGGAGGCAGGGATTCCTTTGGTAGAGGCCCTCCTCCTAGTCCATTTCAGTCAGCACTTCAGGTTTCTCACGGTGTTCCGGGTGGTTGTGGTTCTCATATGCAGTATTCTGATCAGTTGCCCTACAGTGCACCACCACCTCCTATCAGTGCACCTCCGCTCCAGAGTTTTCAAGGTGGTTATCCAGGCTGCCAGGGTCAGTTTCAAGGTTAGCAGTCCCAGCAGCCAAAGTCTTGCTATACTTGCGATGATACGAGGCACATTTTTAGGTTTTGCCCTCGAGCCTCGAGCAGTTCTCAACACCAGGGTTCTCGTGTTATGGTTCCAGCACTGGGTGTTCCACTGCCCTCTCAGCCAGCTAGAGGTAGGGGTAGAGGTGTTAGAGGTGGATGTCAGGCCGCTAGAGGTGTAGGCCAAGCAGCTAGAGGTGGAGGCCAGCCAGCAGGAGGCCGTCATAGGGATGCATTTCAGAGTAGTGGAGCCCAGCCTCGATGTTATGCTATACTAGGTAGACCTGAGGCTGAGACCTCCGATGCAGTTATCACAGGTACAGTTTAAGTGTGCAGTAGAGATGCCTCAGTCCTATTTGATCCAGGGTCCACATATTCTTATGTATCATCTTATTTTGCCCCTTATCTGGTTGTGCCCCGTGATTCTTTGAGTGCTTCCGTATATGTGTCTACACCGGTGGGTGATTCCATTGTGGTAGAGCGTGTTTATCGTGCTTGCGTGGTCGTTATTGGGAGTCTTGAGACCCATGTAGATCTCCTACTTCGCAATATGGTGGATTTTTCGATGTCATTCTGGGGATGGATTGGTTATCCCCTTATCATGCTATATTAGATTGTCATGCCAAGACTGTGACCTTAGCACTATCGGGGTTGCCTTGTTTGGAGTGGAGAGGGACTCCTACTCATTCTTCCAGCAGGGTTATCTCATATATGAAGGCTCGGCGTATGGTTGATAAGGGATATTTGGCCTTTTTGGCATATGTTCGTGATTCTAGTGCTGAGGTTCCTTCTATGGATTATGTTCCCATTGTTCATGAGTTTCCGGAGGTATTTCCTTAAGACCTACCGGGGATGCCACCCGACAGGGACATTGACTTTTGCATTGATTTGGCTCCGGGCACTCGGACCATTTCCATTCTGCCATATCGTATGGACCCGTCAGAGTTGAAAGAATTGAAAGATTAGTTGCAGGACTTGCTGGATAAGGGCTTTATTAGACTGAGTGTCTCGCCTTGGGGTGCGCCGGTGTTGTTTGTTAAGAAGAAGGACGGATCGATGAGGATGTGTATAGATTATCGACAGTTGAACAAGGTCACAATAAAAAATAAGTACCCATTTACGAGGATTGATGATTTGTTTGACCAGCTTCAGGGTGCACAAGTGTTTTCTAAGATCGACTTGAGATCTGGCTACCATCAGTTGAGGATTAGGGCATCCGATGTCCCTAAGACAGCTTTCCGCACTCGGTACGAGCATTATGAGTTCTTGGTGATGTCATTCAGGTTGAAAAATGCCCAGTAGCTTTCATGGAAGCCTCACTTGGATTCCTTCGTGATAGTCTTCATTGATGATATTTTGATCTATTCCCGCAGCCAGGAGAAGCATGAGCAGCATCTGAGAGTTGTTCTTCAGACTTTGAGAGATAGTCAGTTGTATGCTAAGATTTGGAAGTGTGAGTTCTTGTTGGGATAAGTTGCTTTCTTGGGTCATGTAGTTTCAGCAGAGGGTATTCAGATGGATCCGAAGAAGATAGAGGCAGTCAAGGACTAGCCTAGACCCACATCAGCTACAGAGATCCAGAGTTTCTTGGGTTTGACGGGCTATTACCGTCGGTTTGTGGAGGGGTTTTCATCTATTGCATCCCCGACGACCAGGTTGACCCAGAAGGGTGCGTAATTCAGGTGGTCGGATGAGTGTGAGGCGAGCTTTCAAAAGCTCAAGACAGCTTTGACTACGACGCCAGTGTTGGTTTTTCCCACAGGTTCAGGGCCAAATATAGTATATTGTGATGCTTCGCGTATTGAACTTGGTGCGGTGTTGATGCACAATGGCAAGGTTATTGCATATGCTTCGCGACAATTGAAGATCCACGAGAAGAATTATCCAGCTCATGATTTGGAGCTAGCCGCCATTGTTCACGCGCTGAAGATTTGGAGGCATTATTTATATGGCGTGTCGTGTGAGGTGTTCACGAATCACAAGAGTTTGCAATATTTGTTCAAGTAGAAGGAGCTAAATTTGAGGCAGAGGAGGTGGTTGGAGCTGTTGAAAGATTATGATATCACCATCTTGTATCATCCGGGAAAGGCCGATGTAGTGGCCGATGCATTGAGTAGGTAGTCAGCCAGTATGGGTAGCCGTGCGTATTTTCCAATCGGTGAGAGGCCGCTTGCTTTGGATGTTCGGGCTTTAGCCAATCAGTTCGTGAGATTGGATTTTTCTGAGCCCAGCTGTGTGCTAGCTTGCAGAGTCGCTCGTTCTTCATTATTTGAGCGTATCCGTGATCGGCAGTATGATGATCCTCATTTGCTTGTCCTTAGAGACACAGTGCGGCACGGAGGTGTCAAGCAGGTTACAACTGGAGATGATGGAGTCTTGAGGATGCAGGGTCGTATTTGTGTGCCTAATGTGGGGTGAGTTGATTCTAGAGGAGGCCCATAGTTCCCGGTATTCTATTTACTCGGGCGCCGCTAAGATGTATCTGGACTTGTGGCAGCATTATTGGTGGAGGAGAATGAAGAAGGACATTGTTGCCTATCTAGCTCGGTGTGTGAATTGTCAGAAGGTGAAGTACGAGCATTTGAGACCCGGTGGTTTGTTCCAAAAGATTGTGATTCTTGAGTAGAAGTGGCAGCGTATCACTGTGGACTTTGTTGTTGGACTCCCACGGACTCCGAGGAAATTCGATGCAATATGGGTTATTGTTGATAGGCTGACCAAGTCAGCGCATTTCATTCCTTTGGCAGTTTCCTATTCCTCGGAGCGGTTGGCTAAGATCTATATCCGGGAGATTGTTCGTCTTCATGGCGTGCCCGTGTTTATCATTTCTGACCGGGGTACGCAGTTTACCTCGCATTTTTGGAGGGCAGTTTACCGTGAGTTGGGCACACGGGTCGAGTTGAGCATAACATTTCATCCCCAGACGGACGAATAGTCCAAGCCACTACAACAAAAAAGATTTTTAGTGGTAATTATTTAGTGTCAATAAACTAATTGCCGCAAATTCATTTTATAAAGCTAAATGTTAGCGGCAATTAAACATTTGTCGGGAATAAACATGCCTTTACCGACAACTAAAAATAATGGCCACTAAAATTTAATATTTTACTACTCCTATTATTTTAGATCTTCCCTCCTTTTCCCACCTAAAAGATGTTCCCTCCAAAGAATACTTTATTTCTCTTTACAATAGATTTATTCGATTTTTCATTTCTGCCAAAGATGTTATTAGGGCAATTTTTTGGCCGACAAAGATTTTTTGCCCTAGAAAGCTAATCAATTGATTCTAGCATAAGTTTGGGAGATATAGACCCTTTCTCCGTCGAGCACCCTGTCTATTTCTCTATTGAGAATGACCCGTAAGTTTCCTTTATTTTCTATCCTCTCTCACTTTCTCGAAGTAATTGGTGTAGTATTTTGCAACATGAACATTTTTTCATCTTGTATGTGATATGAACTTGACTGCTTATGCATTTCCTTTGGTTTCTTCATATAATTCTTCTTTATTTTTTTCCAGATGTAAGGTTATTTAGGATATTGGATGAGAAATCTCAATTATATGGATTTTAGGACAAAAGATTCTATAACTTCTTTAAGGGCGTGTATTTTATTTAGTGCAACTCTTGATAGAAGTTGATGTATCTTGTCCTGATGTTTATAAAATTATTATTTCTGATTTTCTGTCTTTTGATTTTAGGTTTGGAATAGTTTCAATATTTTTAACATAAATTTGTTGTTTCTTAGTCTAGAATTCACCCGTATAATTTTAGGAGTAATTATTTCTCTTACATTATTTTATCGAGATGCTCGAACAATAGATCAATTTATAATAGTTTTTCTTATCATATTATGGGTATATCAAATTCTATGGTAAATAGGAGAACTCCTTAAGCTGATCATTAGGTATTCTAGATATAGGAAAAAGTTAGAGTGATATAACTATATATTCAACTTTTTCCTCTACTCTTGCTGGTCACATCAGGGTTATGAGACTCTTCATCTATGAAATCATTAGTTAAATTGGTAGTGTATTTGAAGGTTGTCTATGATATATTACTTGTGGCACATCAGAGAAAACTCCATTGTCATTTATAATTGCTAAAATTTAAAATTATGTGTTGCATCTGTTTCAAAATACTAGGTATTTATCTTCTTATTATTGGAAATGCTTTTTGATGCTGTATTTTTTTAAATTTTTACTGATGTATATAAATTTGATTTCATAACTCTTAAGTCGCACCCTTGTGTGTTATGTTTTATCATTTCTAACAAAAGAAAAGGTATGTCGTTCAAAATCTTTGTGATTTCTGTTTATCAGTGGCATAAATCATTGTTTTTTGAATCAAGTCGATTAATTTTTCATCAATCTGCTGATTAGCAATGTGCAGAACCTGCGTACATGCAAAAATTGCCAAGAAAGACATAGAAGTTGACTAGGGTTATCTTGTGGTGTTGTATAAAAATCTTTAATAATTCAATAGTTCATTTTTCATTCTTCTATTACCTGACCTCTTCTCGTCCATTGATTTATGCAAACAATTCAGAAACACAGTTCCTCATATTGAGTAGTTTCTTCATATTGGAAGAGACTTTGAAGAATACTGCATAGATGCTTAAGTGTCATCAACTAGATTATGTATCGATGAGCTTGTATTTGTAAGTTTTTATTTCAAATGCCTTTTTCGGTTGTTCGTCTTAGCGTCGTACATACACTCTAAAAATAACTTCTCAGTATTGACGTCAAAGAATAGACTTTCAGCATTATCAATTGGGAGTTGCTACTACTATTGATATTGTATGATCAATTAATGCATTATGTATTTTTATTTTTAATATCCATTATAATTTACCGAGTAAATAATTCAAGATTTGTTTCATTGAGTCACTTTTTAAGTGGCAATACATATTGTGTACCCTTTAAATTTTAAGTTGACATCGTCGTCCTTATTTGAACTTTGAAATAGTGTCCATCTTTCCAAAATTGAAATTTTTATCACTTTATTCCCTATAGCTCCTATATCTAAACACAAATGAATTTGATACTTCAAGTTGCTAGATTTGGAGTGGCTTCGATCTACTATATGCATACTATCTTTAGTTTATTGATGTTTGTATATACACGTGCATGGTTCAGTCTAAAGCAATGAGTTCAATTAAAACCCATTTTGCTAGTGGCTGGATCCTTAAATTGAGCTCACTCTATAAGTTTCAAACTTTTAAGTAAACTTTATTCCACATTTGATCATTCTATAATGTAAACAAAGTTTTTTTTCAATTTTCCTACTAACAAATCGAATTTATTTTTATGCAGATGTATAAAGTATATTAAACTATGAACATTTTCAACGGTCGTCTTGATAAAGTTGATGCCCTCAAACTGCAGAATACATAATTTTCTAAGCTTAACCTTGTGAAACTTGTCCATAAATCAAAAAAGATAAGAAAGCACTAGATTTTTGTCTATATGTCTCCTAAAAAGTAAACTAGAGACCCTTTATTATTTTCTATTTACATTTAATAGGTAACTTAGCTTAAAATTTTTTGCTATGGTGCAGCTGCGTAATCTTGAAGCCTGTGATGCGGAGGACTGGAAGGGTCTAGTATATTATGCTTTGAGACAAGCGGTCATCTGATGTTCAAAAGGCTCTCCATGTATAACGTTCAAAAGGATCTCCATGTTAGGAATGCTGACCACCTCAAGAACTGGAGCATCTACAAGTATTCAAAACTTTTGTCTTTCTTACCTTAAAATTATCTTCCTACTTCACGTATGACTTGAAAGTCTAAAGCAAAGAAATTAATAATAATAGTTCATATTTCATTCAGTATGTCAATCTTCTTCTATTGGTCCAACTCAAAGGAACTAGTTCTTCCATTATATCACAAACTCATTGACGTTGGGCTTCAAATTTGGGTCTACAGGTATATTATTGGTTAATTTACAATTATATTCTTCTTCAAGCACAGTTTTCCAGGTACAGAAGCCATATGTTTAGTTTTTTCAATTTAAAGTTCCATCTTCTTAGTTAGTTGAACTAGATGAATATCATATTACTTTAATGGATGATAATTTGTGTAAATCTAATGCTTTCTAAGTTACTTAGAGAAGTTTTATGCATCTGTGCCTACCTTATTTTAAACAGAATTCACTGCATCTGTACCTTTAACAAGAATCATGGATGTTGCTTTCGTTTGGGCTATGGTTTAATCTGGCACTGAGCATCAAACATGCTTGGCGTGGTGCTGACAACTGGTAGTGGCTGTGTTCATTCTTTGGAGCTCTTCTTTTTAGATCTTTTAGAGTATAATTTTAGCCTTGTGAAGCTCCTCAAATGTTGATTCAGATCTGCAAGAAGATTGAGATGTAAGTTAGTTGGCCTATTATTTTGGTGCATAAATGGATATTCAAACCGGAACACTTGTGGAAGACTTTCATTATAGTGGAGGGTTGAAGAGATACTTGTTAAACTTGAAATGAAATTGAATTCAAAATGTTTACTTTCTCTTATGTTCTATGTATTTGAAGTTTTTTTGTTCTGGATTTAATGAAATACATACCACTTTTTAGAATGTATATTAGTTTGTTATTACAAACTTTTGTGTATCTTTATGTAATTTTTTTGGTCACGTATTATTATATTGTATTTGGATCAACTTGAATAACAAATAGGCAAACATTTCTTGGCAATAAAATTGATGGAACAATGGATCGTTGTCATATATAAAAGATAAATAAAGGTGTTTTAGGAATGGTTATAGTCGACATTATCATTACCATTGCCGCTAAAAGAGGTATATTTTACCAGTAATTAATGGTTTTTGCCGGCAATAAGCAACGTATTATCTAGTAGATATCTTAGGGGGATTTAGTGGCCACTTTAATTGCCAGTAAATAATGGCTGCCAAAGTAAATAGCTTTTTGCGGCAATAATTTGTGTCTTTACCAGCACTTGGTTGAATTGCCGCTAAAACTTTTAGCGACGCTGGATACAACGGCTAATAAGTAATTGCCGGTAAAGGTTTTAGTGGAAATTTTGTATTGCCTCTAAATGTATAATATATTGCCGCTAAAGACCATTTTTGTTGTAGTGAGCGTACTATTCAGATTTTGGAGGATATGCTCTAAGCATGTGCTACTGACTTTGGAGGTTTGTGGGATCAGCTCTTGCCATTAGCAGAATTTGCCAACAACAACAACTACCAGTCGAGCATTCAGATGGCTCCCTATGAGGCATTATACGGTAGGCGATGTCGGTCGCCGGTTGGGTGATTTGAGCCAGGAGAGGCTCGGTTGTTGGGTACAGATTTAGTTCAGGATGCCTTGGATAAGGTGAAGATCATTCAGGATAGGCTTCGTACAGCTCAGTCCAGGCAGAAGAGCTATGCCAACCGCAAGGTTCGTGATGTAGCATTCATGGTCGAGAGTGAGATTTGCTCTGGGTGTCGCCCATGAAGGTCGTGATGAAATTTGGGATGAAGGGCAAGCTAAGCCCTAGGTTCATTGGTCCTTTTGAGATTCTTGATCGAGTGGGAGAGGTGGCTTACAGACTTGCGTTACCGCCGAGTTTATCAGCTGTGCACCTAGTGTTTCATGTGTCCATGCTTTGGAAGTATCACGGCGATCCATCCCACGCGTTAGACTTCAGCATTTTCCAGTTGGACAAGGATCTGACCTATGAGGAGGAGCCGGTGGTCATTCTGGACTGGCAGGTTCGTCAGTTAAGATCAAAGATTTACCCTTCAATTCGTGTTCAGTGGAGCAGTCAGCCTACCGAGGCAGCTACCTGGGAGTCCGGGTCCAATATGCGGAGCCGATATCCCCATCTTTTACCCGACTCAGGTACTTCTTTTCTATGTCCGTTCGAGGATGAACAGTTGTTTTAGAGGTAGAGGATGTATTGATCTAAAAGGTCATCACTTGATTTACAAGTCAATTCAGTGTTCCGAGGCCTTAAAAACCTCCTTTTATCTTACCTCGATTTGCATGCCCGATCCGGGCGTATATGCGGAACGCTTTTATGTGAAAATTTGATAAAAATGCTAAATTTGCCATTAAAATCAAATTTAAGTTGACTTCGGTCAACATTTTAGGTAAACGGACCCGGACCCGTGATTTAACGGTCCTGAAGGGTTTGTAGAAAAATATGGGACTTGGGCGTATCCCCGGAATTGAGTTCTGAAGTTCCAAGCCCGAGAAATGAATTTTTGAAGAAAATTGTGTAACTGAAATTATAAGAGTTTTTGGAAATTTAAATGTGTTTGAATTTAATGGTATCAGGCCCGTATTTTGATTCCGGAGCCCCGTAGAGGTCTTATATGGTATTTAAGTAGTGCCTGTAATATTTGGTAAGAAACGGACTTCTTATGACGTGAATCGGACCCTCGGTTGTATAAATTAGAACTTAAGAGTTACTGAGATTTTTCTTTGATTTTGATGCTAAACTCGTAGTTTGAGGCATTATTTTGGAGATTTGATCGCACGAGTAAGTCCGTATGATTTTTTTAGGGTTGTGTGCATGTTTGCTTTAGAGCCCCGAGGGCTCGGGTGAGTTTCGGATAGGCCACGGGATATTTTTACACTTAGAAATTCTGTTGTCATAGCTGTTGTAGGTGGAGAGATAATTCCTTCTTCGCGTTCATGAAGGAACTCCCACGAACACGAAGAGCAAAGTGGGGCTGAAGGAAATTCCTTCTACGCGAACGCGAGACACAGGTCGCAAACGCGAAGCGTTGAAAGTGTTACGCTTCACGAACGCGGACCTGCTACCGTGAACGCGAAGGCCTTTTGGTAGGGAATTGGGGGAAGGGAAAATGCTCTACGCGAACACGACAATTGGCTCGCGAATGCGAAGGTCAGGGGGGGTGAACCTTCACGAACGTGTACAGTAGCTCGCGAACGCGAAGGCTCTTCTATCCAAAGCTTCGCAAACGCGACAGACCCTTCGCGAACGCGAAGAAGGTTAGTCCAGCGATTTAAAACAGAACCAGAACGGGAATTCAGCCATATTTTCATACTTTCTTCCCCAAAATCAGACCCTAGGCAATTTTTGAAGAGCAAATTCAACACCAAATCATAGGTATGTGTTCCTAAACCCATCTCCTTCATTTTCCATCAACACCTGTTAGATTTCTAGGCTTAAATATTGATCTTCCATGGTAGAAATTGGGAATTTGGGTAGAGTTAGGTCTTTTTGAATAATTGGAATTTAGACCTCGTTTTGGGGTCGGATTTCAAAATTAATTGTATATTCGGGCTCCTAGGTAAATGGGTAATCGAGTTTTGGTCCGAACCTCGAGTTTTGACCAAGCGGGCCCGGGGTCGATTTTTTGACTTTTTGGGGAAAATGATAGAAAACCTATAATTTAGCATTAGGATTGAATTCTTTAGCATTTATTGATGTTGTTAAATTAATTTGGGTTAGCTACAAGTAAATTGGAAACGAATTCTAAAGGAAAAGCGGTGTTTGAGGCTTGAGTTGGCAGTAAAAGTTCGAGGTAAGTGTTTGGTCTAACCTTAGCTTGAGGAAATAGGTGTTGTGCCTTATTTGCTATGTGCTAGTGTAGTATACGACGTATAGGTATGATGACGAGTATCTATACATTGGTGTCAAGCATGCCCGTGGGTCTTAAATTGTGATTGTTGTGTTTCTTAATAAGTACTACGTATGCCTAAATTGTTGATTATCCATGTTGAGCAAGATTTATGATTTTCGTCTTGGTAATTGGTTATAGCTTTTTTGTATCACCTTAATAAGATAAGGTGTCTCTTAAGTTTGTGGGTTTTGTGGGCCCCACTTAATAGCTTAGTCTTGCTAAAATATCCCTTGTTATGCCACCTAATTACCTAGAATAAGAGTCATATTTCCATCAAATCTTGGCTGCCACGTTTGGAGATATAAGACTTATCCAAATATTTGGATGAAGTAACCTCTAATCATTTCATTGACATGTTAATCTCTCGTTAACCAATAATTAACCAATTACCCACATAATTAAGAATTATCTCAAATTACTTAAAATACTATCCACTTTTATACACCTTATTATCATGGCCATGTGGTACCTTGTATGGTACTAGTCCATAAATATCGGGTATTAACGCTCGGCCCGTATTTTAACCCCACATGCAAAACTTGGACGAAAATTAATTTTCTTTGCCTTGCTTCCCCTCTCATCTTCATGAATTTACTCATCACTTGTTTGAAATAGCATAATCCTTATAATCTCCAAATAATCTTTTTCTTGGACTGATATCAATTACCTTACGACAAAATTGAGTACAATACTACAGGGTGCAACATCGTCGAAATTTAATACTGCGAAGCGTAACACCATTGTAATGTAATACTATAAGGCGTAACATCATCGTAATATAATACTGCAGGCCGTAACATCATCATAATATAATATTACGGGACGTAATATCGAAGTAATATTTCGGGGCGTAACATTCGTTTCGTCTATTTTGGTTCCTGAGCAGGTTTGTACCTTGAGGCACAAGTTTCGTGATGACCAAAAGAAGAAGTCTCAATCCAGAATAAAAGAAAAGAAGAAAAAGAAAAGTTAAACCCAATGTGCAAAAGCGGAGAAAATATGGACTACTCGAGACAAGAATGATATCACCAGTTTGCATGTTCCGTCTTGATCCGAAGAATATGAAGAAGATTGAACCAACGCCTGCAGCTAACAAGCATCAACATTCAGATTAGAATCTGCATAAAGAACCAACCAAGACTCAAGACCAAGCTTCGAAAATTTACAAATAGGAATCTTGTACCTTGTAGCTAATAGGTTTAGTTAGTTTTCTTCATTTTTACTTTAGTGTAATAAGGAGCTCAGCAGCAGTAACAATAGCAACAGCAGTGAGATCACAGCTTTCGAGTAGTCCCAGCTACAAAAACTTCCAGAACTACACTAACCTGATTCCTTTATAGCCAAGGATATGTTGGCAACCTCCGAAGCAAGGTTCGGTCAAACTTTTTCAAGATGCTTTCCATGGAGTGTCAAACGGGCAAAAATTGCTCATAATTTCTCACTTTATCTTTGCCATAAAAATCTTCGTGTTTCCGAGCAAAGCAGGGCAGCTGCGAGCATGTAATTTTTACCCTACCAATATATTCCTACAAAATTGACAAACAAATTAGTCCTATTTATTTTTTTAATTTTCTTTAGGATTTTTGGCAATTATTTGAGATTATTTGCATTTTTAGTTGCATTTTTCTATTGTTGAAGTTGTGAAAAATAACAAAAAAATTTTAATCTTCACCATGTTGCATTATCGGGATTTTAATTTAATTTAATGCCTAATTACATAATCTAATTACATCATAAAAAGAAAATCACAAAAAAATTATTATTTTTTACATTTTTAGTTTCAATGATTAAAACTAGTAATTTTTCCTTCTTAAGATTGACTAATTATGCAAATAATACAAATAGGTAACTAGTGTAATTTTATAATATGAGATA